ATGGGAGATAGTCTTTTTTTTTTTAAAGATTTATTTTATTTTATTTGAAAGACAGTTACAGAGAGGTAGAGACAGAGAGAAAGGTCTTCCGTCCGTTAGTTCACTCCCCAGATGGCCGCAATGGCTGGAGCTCTGCCGATCCGAAGCCAGGAGCCAGGAGCTTCTTCCAGGTCTCCCACACGGGTGCAGGGGCTCAAGGACTTGGGCCATCTCATACTGCTATCCCAGGTCATAGCAGAGAGATGGATTGGAAGAGCAGCAGCCAGGACTAAAACCGGCGCCCATATGGGATGCCGGTGCTTCAGGCCAGGGCTTTAACCCACTGCGCCACAGCACCGGCCCTGGGAAATGGTCTTATGTCCCCATATGACTTGAGCAATAATAAAAGGCCCCTGCAAACTGCTGTGGGACCTGGAAGAAGAACCTGGGAGGTATCCAGGAGGGCAGCAGCATCTGGGAACTTGGAAAGCTCTAGGAGTGGAAGCTGAAGGTTAGTTCAGTCTGGCTTCCCTCTCTGTCCTCCCTTGCTCATCTCACTCCTTTGGCTTCCAGTAGCAGAACCTCCCTCTTGTTTTACTTTTGGGAGGAGCCCCCTCTACTCCATGTGATTTTACTGGGATCGAGTTGTTGATTTAAAATCCCCCCACCCCAAATAGTGTATGTGACCAAGGCTGTCCCTTGAGAACCTTCTGAGAACTGCCTTTTCTCCGGGATGTCTCTTCTGTCCAGCAGTACTGAGTTGGAATCATCTTTGCAGATACAGGACATGAATCCACCCAAAGCCAAATGCATCACAGAGAAAAGCAGAGTCAAGAGATAGCTGGAGCTGGCGCCGCGGCTCACTAGGCTAATCCTCCGCCTGCGGCGCCGGCACACCGGGTTCTAGTCCCGGTCGGGGCACCAGATTCTGTCCCGGTTGCTCCTCTTCCAGTCCAGCTCTCTGCTGAGGCCTGAGAGTGCAGTGGAGGATGGCCCAGGTGCTTGGGCCCTGCACCCGCATGGGAGACTAGGAGAAGCACCTGGCTCCTGGCTTCGGATCAGTGTTGTGTGCCGAGTGCAGTGTGCCGGGTGCAGCGGCCATTGTGGGGTGAACCAACAGAAAAAGGAAGACCTTTTTCTCTGTCTCTCTCACTCACTATCCACTCTGCCTGTCCAAAATAAATAAATAAATAAATAAAAAGATAGCTGGAGAGGAGAACATTGATTCCAGGATGCAACCATATGTGGTATTATTTTTTTGAACTTGGGTAGTCGTCTATCCCCAGACCACAGCTTCTTCATCTATTAACTGGAGAGAATAAGTGGCTATAAGATTTAAATGAGGGGCTGGTGCTGTGGCGTGGTGGGTTAAAGCTGTCGCCTGCAGTGCCGGCATCTTATATGGGCGCCGGTTCTAGTCCCAGCTGCTCCTCTTCTGATCCAGTTCTCTGCTATGGCCTAGGAAAGCAGCAGAAGATGGCCCAAGTCCTTGGGCCCCTTCACGCGCGTAGGAGACCTGGAAGAAGCTCCTGGCTCCTGGTTTCAGATCGATGCAGCTCTAGCCGTTGCAGCCATCGGGGAGTGAATCAGCAGATAGAAGATCAATCAATCAGTCTCTCTCTCTCTCTCTCTCTCTGCCTCTGCCTTTCAAATAAATAAATAAATCCTATAAAAAAGATTTGATTGAGATAACATGCATATGCCCTGCATATGTGATTGTTGTTAGTGATATAATGGATTTATTGTCTCTGCAAACAGTACTTGCTGCACATGGGCTTCAGAGGCCCTCCAGGGATCTGCAGCCGTAGGTGGGAAGTCACTGCTCCAGACATTGCCTTTTGAGCTGGGTAACTTGTATTCTCCTGTCCCTGTGGGACCAGTGCGCATCCTCTCTCTGGGAGCGTGGACTGGTGTGGCACAGTTACTCCCAATCCACTCCCGCCTTAACTGGCCTGGATGTGGGTTACTTACAGGCAGGATCCCCATCCCCTACTCCCCCAACCTCAGGCTTGCTCCGGAGGCAGGTGCATGCGACAGAACGTTTATCTCTAGGAACTAGGGACAGCTTTGCCAGCAGGGATTATAGCTGCTGTTCATGCATGTGGAAAGAATTTCTGGGGGAGAAAATGCTTATCAACAACTAGTTGAGTTTTTCCTTTAATGCTCTCCTTATACTTGCAAATTCGCTTTGTTGCTTTGAGCTCCTCAGAGCAGACAGTATGGCAGCAGCTAAAAAAGTTCACATTGTGAAAAAAAATTAAATGTGAAACCGTAATATGTTAGCTTATTTTGTTTTAGGCAAATTGCAAAGTCATTTCCTAAGAACCAGTGCCCAAGTACAGTGATCTCATGTAGGGATTCTCAATTCCTAATTATTTTCTCAAATTCATTTAAAAATACATAATACAAAACATGATATAAAATTCCAAACCTGCAAAAAGGAATATGGCTGTAGCCTTCTAGTTACCCTCCTGGAAGGCAACTACCATTACCCAGTTTCTTGTGTGTATTAGAATTACCCTATACCAGCATTTCAACAGAACAGAACCAGCTGGTCTCCATGGAGAGTTGGAGAATTTCCGGTGTGGAAAGTGTCCCCCACCCACCCACACACCCCGCCAGCACACGCAGAGCACGTGTCAGAAGTGAAGTACCAAAGTGTGAGAGCATAGTGAGGAAAAACTGTTTTTTCCTATGTGCAGGACATTTTGATACATGTTTGTAAACTCTTTGACCCTTTTTTCTTCAAGAGATGGAGTCTAACGACTCTGCCCTTGAATGTGGCCTCAATCTGGTGACTGACTTCTACTTGGGCTGTGTGGCAGAAGCAGTGCCCTGGGCTGCTGTAGCCGGATCATAACAATACCCATCTCTCCTCAGACCGCTCACTCTGGAGGGAGCCAGCTGTCCTGATGTGAGAACAGCCCGCCAGGTAGCACGTGGCCAGGCCTACACGGGGAGGAACTGAGGCCTGCCTCCAACAACCGGCATGACTTGCCCTCAGGTGAGTGGGTGAGCCACCTTGCAGGTGGATCCGCCAGCCTCAGTCAAGCTTGCCGATGCCTGTAGCCCTGGCCAGTAGCTTGAGAACCTCCTGAGTGCCCCAGAGCCAGGACTGCCAAAGCCACTGCTGAACTGTTGACTTACTACAACTCAGAGAATAGACATTTTATTGTTATAGAGCATCAGATAACCAGATAACTGGCTGGCATGGGGGTGGAGGCAGACAGACTGAGAGCCTCTGAGCTGGTGTATTAATTAGCAATGCCCAGGTCATGCATGGTTGGGGACTTTTGCCCTGGGTGCCAAGTTTTCTTGTTCTCACGATATTTGCTATGCCAACAAACCTATAGATTTTCCTGGGCACAAAATTCCTTTCCCCCTGTCATATAAATGGGATGCTAGCATCAAATTGCACAAATATAAATTAGAGTTTGGGGGGTGATCTACAAGCAGAATAATAAAAGAACAGACCCAATCCCCCAGGCTTTCAGAGAAGGGGGTTATGACAGACTTAGCTCTGCTGGGAAGGCAGCAAGTACAAGGGTCTCTGATCATGGTCTCTTGCCAGCTCCCAGTTTATATCCAGTACTTTGTTTTTGTGTGTGTGTGTGCGTGTGTTTGACAGGCAGAGTGGACAGTGAGAGAGAGAGACAGAGAGAAAGGTCTTCCTTTTGCCGTTGGTTTACCCTCCAATGGCCGCCGCGGCTGGCGCACCGCGCTGATCCGAAGGCAGGAGCCAGGTACTTATCCTGGTCTCCCATGGGGTGCAGGGCCCAAGGACTTGGGCCATCCTCCACTGCACTCCCTGGCCACAGCAGAGAGCTGGCCTGGAAGGGGGGCAACCAGGACAGAATCTGGCGCCCCGACCGGGACTAGAACCCGGTGTGCCGGCACCGCAAGGCGGAGGATTAGCCTAGTGAGCCGCGGCGCCGGCCTATATCCTGTACTTTGATTAATCAACATCCTTCCTGCCCTAGTGATAGAACATGAGCTGGCAGGGGGAGTGTCTGTCCTCAGGACTCAACAGTGTGACCCAAGTGCCCAGCACTGAACCTGGCCCCTGCTGGTGCTCTGTATACGGTGGCAGCCATCACCCTCCCATCAGTGTGACTGTCGTTACTGACCCTGACGGCAGCCCTGTTTGTACTTCTCTTCATCCCTCCGTCCTTGAGTCAGGCAGCAGAAGAGTTAAGGCTGAGAGTCTGACAGCCCTGGGTTAAACCCTATCTGGTTTTGGATGTGTGACCTTGGCCTGTCACCTTCATTCCTTGAGCCTTGTTTTCCTTCTCTGTCAAATGGTGATTAAAATACTAATACTAATACTAATATTAATAATAAAGCCCTGCTTCCATGGATTCCTGGGCAAAATGGCACAAGACTGGAAAATGCCTGACCCAGGCTTGTCCCCAGGTGAGCAAATCGCAAGTAGTGGTATCTGCTGCCGCCCATTATTATCACTGCTTGGGCTTGCGTTTCACACGCAGGAATATGTGTTGGCTTGCTGAAGTCAGCGGGCAGAGGAAAAGGTGTTTTCCATTCTCATCAAGGAATTTAGGAGGTAACCTGGGCCGGCACGCAGCGCACAGCCAGACCAGAGAGCATTCCCACCAGCCTGCGAGATGAGAGCCCCTTCTCCGACAGGAGACACATTTGTTCATGAGCTTGTGGGCTCGGGGAAAGGAGGCGGCCCCACAGAGCCGGGGCTTCTCTTCCAGGCATCCTGGCGACCCCACGGGCCCTCGGAGGGGCCGGGGGAGGGTCGTCTGTGTAAATGACGGTTCTCGTGAACCAGCGGACACCAGGGGCCTGGTATTGGTCTGGAAAGGCTGCACCTCCAGGACGGCGTGCTCAGGCCCTCCAGACGGCCTCCCCCGGGGGAGCGTGGTGAGGGCCCCCCAAGGATGGGCTCGTAGCCACGCTCCCGCGTCTGTCGCCTGTGCCCTCGTGGTTCGTATACAATGCACATCTTCATTTCTCAACACCTGGCCAGGATTGCTTATGACTATCACACGCGCGAATATGAGAAAATAAGTATTTTATAAGCAACGCTGAGAAGCCAATGTTAGAACACATAACTGGCGGGCGGCCGGGCGGCGGTCACTCTGTGGGCTGCTCCTCGGGCGCTTCGCTCTCCTCTCCTTCGGCTGTCGACTCCGTAGGGGCCTCCTTCTCGGCTGGGGCTGCGGGGGGCTCCCTACGAGGAGAAGAGCGTGCCAGGGCTTTCCCTCCCGCCCTCGGTCTCCTCACTTAGGTCAGGAGGTGAGGTCGCCCCGCCCTTTACCCTGCATCCTTGTTGACGGTCTCGTCCTCGTCGGAAGACTCCTTGTCGTGGAGCTTCCGGGCCATGTCTGTCTTGCGCGTGGCGTTGAGCGGTCTGTACATATCCCGCAGCCAGAGGGGCCACCTTAGCCAGAAAAAGCCCTCCTAGAAAAGGAAGGGGAACCGTGAATCCCGCCTCTCCCTGCCTCCTCAGCCGCACACCGCATCCTCAAACTTACCTGCGCCTCGCTGTCTGTGCACTTCCTGGGCGCGTGTTGCAAAAAGCCCCTGGAGAAAACACACAGACAGTTAGAGGTCGGTGCCATTTTTTCACGTCTCTCCCAGTGTACGTCTCTGGTGTTACCCGGACAAAATGTGTACCTCCCTCCATAGTTAGAGCGAGCAAAATCACCCCAGACCTGGCATCCTGAGAACAACTCCGCGTGTGCTGGGCTTCCTGGAGCTCCCCAAGTCTGTCCAAAAGGGCCCCCGGTGGCTCTGCAGACACCTTGCACCATTGCTTTGCACGGGCCAAGGGCAGGGTTGTCAGCCCCAGCTACTGTCTTGGCCAAGCGCCCTCGTGCAGTGAACAAACACAGCCATACTGGCAGAAGCATTTTCTCCCTCCAGGAGGGTTGACACCAGGCCCCTTGGACTGAGGCTCACATGCATCATTCCCTGGGGGGTGAGGGAGAAGGTGCTTCTGCGTTCATAGCTGCTTTAGCCCCTGCAAATTGAATCACATCAAGCAATGCCGCAGTCCAAGAGCAAAGTTCCCCAGCTCAGAGATTTTCACACTGCTGGTATCTGTCACTGATGGGAGAGTGAGTTGTGAAACCAGTTAAAGGACAAGGCTAGCACCGAGACACAAAATACTCTATGGATACGAATGGAACAGAGAAAGGCAGAGTGCATTGTTTTAGCAACTGCTTATGTCTGTATAGTTCGTGTGTACTGACTTCTGGAGAAAATGTAGCTCGCAGCCCGAGCCCAGTGTGCTCCAGGGAGAAGTCCCAGCTGCGAAGGAACTGTCCTCTTTCTGACAGTAGCAGTGTGACCATGGGGCAAGATATTGCCCCTTTCTCCTTCTGTTTCCTTGTTGTGAAAGGGAGAGACAAATTACAGTCTAAAGGTCTCTCCAGTTAAAGCTCTAAGAGGTTTGGGTAGGAGGAATGGGGGGGGGGGGTTCTGGTCTGTCGGGTGAGAAGGAAGCTTCCTGCCTCTTTAGGGAGACTCAGGCACTCTCCTCTCCAGCCGCCTTGCAGGAGACTAGCCCCTCCCCCCAGTACCGTGTAGCTGTCCCCAGCCCTCGTCCAGAGCCTGCAAGGTGACCTCTACACTGGCCAGATGCCCAGCAGCAGCAGGGGCAGCACGGCCAGAGCCTCTCCCCAGCTCCTCTGTCCTGGAAGGACTGGTGGCAGCAGACGCGCCCATGTTAGTGCTGTGTTACTAACTCAGCTTTGGTTGGGATCCAGCTTTGCTGGAGTCAGGCAAAGCATTAGGGTAAGTATATGCTTCCTGCCTCTGGCAAGTTCTTTATTATAAAATGAAGAGATAGAAATAGATGAGTTCTAAGTTCTCCTCTAGTTCTAAAATTCTGATTTAAAAATTACCAGACTGGGGCCAGTGCCGCGGCTCACTAGGCTAATCCTCCGCCTTGCAGTGCCAGCACACCGGGTTCTAGTCCCGGTCAGGGCGCCGGATTCTGTCCGGTTGCCCCTCTTCCAGGCCAGCTCTCTGCTGTGGCCCGGGAAGGCAGTGGAGGATGGCCCAAGTGCTTGGGCCCTGCACCCCATGGGAGACCAGGAGAAGTACCTGGCTCCTGCCATCGGATCAGCACGGTGCACCAGCCGCAGCGTGCCGGCTGCGGCGGCCATTGGAGGGTGAACCAACGGCAAAGGAAGACCTTTCTCTCTGTCTCTCACTATCCACTCTGCCTGTCCAAAAAAAAATTAAAAAAATTACCAGACTGGTACTTACCTTGGAGATTTTTCTATGTCTTCCCCTGTTCCTGTCCTGTGAGAGTAAATCTGTTTTGGAAGAAGACACAATCATTATTCTCCATCACAGCGACCACTGTCTTCACATCTTTCACATTCCTTTTTTTTTTTTTTTTGGACAGGCAGAGTTAAGACAGTGAGAGAGAGAGAGAGAAAGGTCTTCCTTCCATTGGTTCACCCCCCAAATGGCTGCTATGGCCAGCGCACTGCACTGATCCGAAGGCAGGAGCCAGGTGCTTCTCCTGGTCTCCCATGTGGGTGCAGGGCCCAAGCACTTGGGCCATCCTCCACTGCCTTCCCGGGCCACAACAGAGAGCTGGCCTGGAAGAGGAGCAACTGGGACTAGAACCCGGGGTGCCAGTCTGCAGGTGGAGGATTAGCCAAGTGAGCCGCGGCGTCGGCCTCACATTCCTTTAAGTCTCATCTACCCACTAAGAACATTTTTGAGGACAGAAGCTCTATGCTTTTAATTGTTCTTTGACTCTTCCACAGTACCTAGCTTAGGGTCTTGCATGCATCTGGGACTTAATACATTTTATTGACTGCTTTAGATAACATGAGATAGATGATTCTCAATGAAACCTCTTAAAGGAGAAAAAGAAGCAAACAGCCTTAACTTGAAGAAGTACAGGCCAGAAACCTAAACAATGGTGGTGTTTTAAAGTCAAGAACAAGAGTAGAATGCTGGGGCTGGCACTCTGGCACAGTGGGTTAAAACCCTAGCCTGCGGCACTGGCATCCCAAATGGGCGCTGGTTTGAGTCCCAGCTGCTCCACTTCTGATCCAACTCTCTGCTAATGTGCCTGGGAAAGCAGTGGAGGATGGCCCTACACTCACGTAGGAGACCTGGATGAAGCTCTTGGCTCCTGGCTTGAGATTGGCCCAGCTCAAGCCATTGTGGCTATTTGGGGAGTGAACTAGTGGATGGAAGACCTCTTTGTCTCTACTTCTCTCTGTAAGTCAGTATTTCAAATAAATAAATCTTTAAAAAATAAGTAGAATGTTTATTATGACTGCTGCCATCCACCACTGTTGAGGAGGTCCTAATCAGTGTAATAAGAAAAAAATGGGATGTAAATATTGCAAAAGAAGAGACAAAACTGTCATTATTTGCATGTAAAATGATGGACAATCTGAAAAGCCCAAGAGAACCAACTGAAATTTTGTTGGAAGTAATATGTAAGTTCAGAAAGGTGGCTAGATGCCCAGTCAAGAGATCACACACACTGCAGTGGCTTTCCTGCACACCTCCAATAACGGGGAAATGCAAGAGGGGTCCCATTTGTAATGGCAACAGAAAGGTATAAAGTATCTTAGAATAACCTTAACAAGAGAGTGTAAGATTTATGTGATGAAAACACTAAAGCTCTTCTGAAGACCATAAGGTATCATATTTCCAGGTTGTTATAAAGAGGTCGGTTCTCAAATTGAATTCAATCTTATTCAAATCCCAAGACACTATTTTTTGGTTTGTTTTGTTGTTGATGTTGTTTTACAAAAACTGACCAGCTGCCATTCTGGTGTGGGGAAAATATGCAACACTATCTATGAAATGTATGAAAAGCTTAGAGAGCAGGAGCTTGCCCTTCCAGAATATATAGCTCAAACTCTATCATAAAGCAACTGGAACAGGGTAGTGTCATACAGGTGCCGGTACAGAAGAAGAGAATCAATGGGAAGACCACAGAGTCTAGATTAAGATATTTTAGGTTGGCAAAGAATGAACTGTTCAATGAAAATTGTTTTAAAACAATTAGATGTTATGTAGGGGGAGAAAAGTTAGATTCCCTACTTCAACCATATTGAAAAAACAATTCCAGGATTAAAAAAATATAAGAACACAATGTTACTAAAATCCTAGAAGAAAATAGAAGATTTCTTTACTCCATGAGATTTCAAGACCCAGACCCCATGAGCAGTAGGGTGGAACTGGCACATGTGAGGACGTGGACCAGAAACTCCCTGCCCAGCCCATGCCTTCCTTCCCACTGGGTTGTTAGTATTGTTCTTATTGCTTTAGAAAACTCCCTATAGCAAATATATTCATCATTCCAAGGATTTTCGTTGTATTTCTGTTTCTAATATTTCCCGGTGTGACTGTAAGGAGGGGATAGAGAACAGAGTAACAAGGAAGGAGCACGGACTGCAGTAGGGGAGATACTGGGTTGTGTTAGTTTTCCATTGGGACTGAACTTGGTTGCCTTAATTTGTAAGAGGGAGATGACGGTATCTCCCTCACAGCACTGTTTTGAGGGTTAAGTCAGCAAGATACGGAAAATTCTTTGCCCCATGCTTGACGTACATAAGTGCTGAGTTTGCTAGCAGTGTCACAGACAAGATGGGCAAATCTTCGAAAGGTTTCTGCTGTGGCATCAGGCTTACAAAGCTCTTTTTCATGAGATTATTGAAAAAATATTGCTTTCATTTTATTCTCAATACTCTTTGAAGTTTTTTCTTTTTTTTACGTATATTGAAATATGTCTAAGGTGAGAAGTAGTGATCCGCCATGAATTGCAACCCACCGCAAATAGTTCAGAAGCTGGGCTATTATCATTTATTCATTTTCTCCCATGGATTAGAGTATTAGAAGATGACATTTCAAAAGCTTTAGGAACAGGGGCCAGCGTTGTTGCACAGCAGGGTTTTGAGTCCTGGCTGCTCCACCTTCCATCCTAATGCACCTGGGAAAGCAGCAAATGATGGCTCAAGTGCTTGGGCCCCTGTACCCACTTGGAAGACCCAAATGGAGTTCTGGGATCCTGGCTTCAACCTGGCCCAGCCTCAGCCATTTTGGCCATTTGGGGACTGAACAAGCAGATGGAAAATCTATCTCTTCCTCTCTCTGTCACTGTACCTTTCAAATAAATCTCAGGAGAAAAAAAAAAAAAAAAGGTCTAGGAACACATGAGTGTGAGTATTGCCGGACTCTGTATACTACTTCAAATTAATGTTAGGTTTCATTGTTCCTCACTGTGGACCCGCCACTCGTCCTTTGAACACTGTTATTGTTTGTTACAAGTGAACACTGCATGCTCCCTGTCCTCACAAAACTTCTTGTCTAAATGGGGAGAGGACCCATAAGAACATAAATGAATACAGATAGAAGTAAGCTGAAACTATACATTTAAATTCAAAGCAGTGTAGGACTTTATTGAAATTTCCAAACAGCCAAAGGCTACTGTCACCTGGAGATGCCCAGGGCACTTTGTGCAATGGCCAGTGAGTGTCTTCACCAAGACCTTGGCAGCTGACCGTGTGTGGGTCCCCACCTCTTGGGCTCAGAAATCAGTCTGTTTTGACACCTGAGTGAAAAGCAGACTCCAGGTTATGACTTGACAGGTCATCTGTGTCTGCATGACCAGGGAACTGCCTGTGCAGACGCAGGCCGCCATGGCAGCCTTGAAGAAGAGAATGAAAAGGGTCAGCAGAATCTAATAGAAAGAGCTGAGGGGCTGGATTCGTCCATCTCACCACTGGACTGACTCCACGTCTTCTGCCTGGGGCTCTCCCCCTGCCCTTGTGCACTGTTAGGATGGGCACTGCCCACCTGGTCTCCTCCTCATCTCTTCTACACTTCTGTCACTCACCAGCCCTCCTGGGCTAGACATGTCTCCTTTAGATATGGTAGTACACTCAGTGTCATGGAGGCTGAGAGACAGGGAAGCCCTTTGGTCCTTAAAGACTTTGGCTGAGCTCCATTATGTGTTGACCTTGGTGTTTGAGTTTTTAAAAATTTCCACATTTTTAAGTTTTTGGGGAAGGGGAAATGCCTCTCTGGCTTCACAGAGAGGTGACAGATCTCACAGAGGGACTAGGCCCTAGAGGACTGCAGTATTCAAAGAGGGCAGTGAAATAAGGGAATTTTAAATGGGCAGAGGCGAAAGTAGGAATGGGTATGGTGTGACTGGGGTATGGCAAGGGGCTGCCATCATAGTAGAGAGAGTAAATAAGGTAAATTAGGTTGGATGGGTAGGGTAGAGTCAGGATTAAACCACTCTTTCAATATTCAAGCACTCGCTTGTTGGGAAAAGCTATATACCATTATATATAATTGGAAAAAAAAAGGTAGCTCCAGGAATGGGATATGCTACATCTAACACACCTTAGAGTATGATGCAAGATTCAACTGCAGTGCACTAACCCTGATTTGACTGCTTCTACACTGGAGCAGTAGGATGCTATATGAATCTAATGTCTCTACAAGACAATACTTCTGTGTTCTGGTAGTGTCCTGAGGACAGTGACAGTTCCTGGAGGGAGGAGATTATACATCTCTCATCATTTCAGCAATGAGGAAAGAAATCAGTGGTAGAAAATAGGAAGTTGTGATTACATCAAATCATTGACATAGTTTTGTAATGGAGAAATTTTGCCATCATATTAACTCTGGCCTTGGCTTTTGTTGTTGTTTATTTTTAAGATGTATTTATTTGGAAGGCAGAGTGACAGGGGAGGGGAGGGGGAAGGTTGTCCATCCAGTGGTTCACTCCCCAAATGGCTGCAATAGCTAGGGCTGGGCCAGGCCAAAGCTAGGAGTCAAGAACTCTCCAGGTCTCCCACATGGATGGCAGGAACTCAAGTACTTGGGCCATCACCTGCTGCTTTCCCAGGAGCATTAGCAGGAAGCTGGATTGGAAGCAGAGTAGCCAGGACTTGAGCCAGCACACTGACATAGATGCAGGCATCCCAACAGTGGCTTAACCCACTGTACCATAGTTCCTGTCCCAACTCTGGCCACTTTAAACTTCTCAGAATTGTCTGATGGCTTCTTACCTTGGTTCCGATTGTATAGAGACCTCCTGGGAGTGAGGTCCCTTTAGAAATCTCTGGAGTATACATTTTAATAAAAGGACAAAGCATGACTGGCTGAAAAGGAATGTGTAGTAAAAGTATGTGGGTAAGTGGCTTTGATTTTTAGTTTGCAGATTCTGTCTATTGTAAAGACGGGATGTACTCTGAAAACCTGAATTAATTATTACTCTTACCTCAATAAAACAGAAAATCATAATCAAAATCATCACTACTGAAGTCACAGATAGTACCAAGATGAGTTTGTTGTTATAGCCATATCCTGGAACTTCTTTTGTGAGCTGGCAAAAAAGAACAATTTAAAAAGACAAAATTTAGAGAGAGAAAGTATAAATACTAACTATTCAAAATCCCATTCTTCCAAGTAAGTGGCTTAAAGGGTCTTAAAGACCATACAAACTAATGTGTTACATAAACTTATTACACATTCTCTTCTACAGTTTGTTAATCTTTTGTGTTAGATCTGTTTCATTCTATAAAGGAACAATGTGGGGAATCGTTGTCTTGACCACAGTTGTGTGCCCAAGACAAGGTAAGGACCAGGAGCCCCTGGGCTTCCTGCTCGGGTGCTTTACTGACATGTCCTAAATGACAAAAAGTCCGGGTCTACGTCTCAGGTTGTCCTCACCTCTCTCGAGTCCGGCCCCTTCTGCTCACTCTGGGCTTCTGTGCTCTCGTTGATGTAATTCTCAGTTTTCCATTGGTCCGTATCCCATTCTGCCTTGGCCACCTTCACCTCCTGCCGCTCACTGAGGAGCTTCATCAGGAGGCCTGTCCTGGAGATGAGCTTGGCACAGGCCAGTTGCACATGGGTCTCCGAGCAGTCCATTTTCAGAGTCCGGATAACATGAGAAATGAGCCTTCTTACATTGTTGTTGGGGATGAGGGAGCGGAGCTGCTGGTTGAGCTGAATTTCAAACTCATCCCCCGGGGACGACAGGGAGGGGTAGGTGAAGTCTGCGGGTGTGGAGGGGGCATCAGTGCTCATGTTGGGGTGCTCCCGTTGCGTCTCATTGGTGTGCTTAGCGGTCGGCATCGGGCTGAGTGCAGTCCCAGCAGAACCTGCAGCCAAAGGATTCTCCCGGGTTGTGTTGGCAGGGAGTGTTTCTTCCAGCTCAACCATGTTTTCTACCAAAGTGTTTCCTTCCAAATCGTCTCCCATAGAAGGGTTTTCTTCAGTAACGTTTTCCAAGACAACCTCTTCCAGAGCGGGACTTCGCTGAGAAGTCAGGTCTCCCGGGGACGAGAAGGCCTCTCGGGAAGGCGAGCCTATGAGACTCCGCAACGCAAGGAAGGCAGGCCTCTTTACAGACACCTGTGTGTTGAGGGGATTTTTCCTTCTGAACTTCCGACTCAGTTTGGCCTTGGGGGTTCTGAGGACCAGATGAGAGCGGGTTTTAGGAAAGCGGTAATTTGGTTCAGAATAGATTGGTTTTGCTGCCTCCATCTTTTTCACTCTAGCATTTGCGTCTTCTAAAACAAGCATGGTGTAGGTTAAGTCTTTCCCTTTGTTGTTGAACTCAGGGAGAGGTTCTACGAGGGAGACAGCAGAAGACCTGCCCACGATGTGTTCCTGCAGCACAGGGGAGGCCACGGCTTCGTGTTCCTTTGTGAGCGAGGGCTCAGCGTGGAGGGAGTTTCCTACCCCCTGGCTGGGCCGCTGCACCGCGTGGTTAAGCTCCTCCAGCTCGCCAGGGCCTGCCCTCCCCAGCCCACCTTCAGCGAAGCTCCCCCCGAGGGGCCCTGCGCGCTGTCTCCTGATGCTCTGCTTTCTCCTCTCCTGGCGGAGCCTTTTCCGTAAGCCCTTTAGCCCCTTGATGACTTTTTTCACTCTCTGCAGCCTTCGCCTTCCGCTGGGAGTGGTTGCCAGGCTGTTCTGCTGTGACTGGGCAGTTTCCAGTTTCTTTAAGAAGATTTGGCGTTTAAATTTGGGACCTAACAGCATGGGCTGCATAAGCATGGCGGCTTTTTCTCTCCTTTTAACCTCATCAATTTTTTCTTTAATTTTTGTATCTAATAAATTTTGCAGAAAATAGAGCTTCCTCAATTTACTTTTGTAAGTTGAATTGGATACAGTTTTAAGAGAGGGGCTCCTTTTATTGGTTTTCAGGTAACCCAAGTGTTTATCTCTATCACGTACTTTTGACAAAAGCGGTCTAATGAATGGTAATAATGTTGATTCTGCATCTTCTAGATTGCCCTCTGACAAATAAGGCAATATATAATTTAGTGCATTCATAACATCACTCTCATCATTAAAGTCTGGCTGCTCTTTCATGGAGCCTGGAACATCGAGCTTGCTTTTGTCTGAAATTTCCTCCTCTGGCTCAATAGTCAGCTCCGTGCTGGTGTTCTTCCTCCGGGCTTGCAGTGCCTTTAGGAATGCTCCTTTGGGATTCCGTATAGTTGCTTCCTCAACTGTAAAAACAAGAGAATGCTTTTGATAACAGGAGACTGATGGGACAGCTTTTTGTCAGTCTGTAGTCATGCAACCCATCAGTTAAATCAGGAGTCCCCAATATTTGGGTGAGAGAGAAAATAAACCCAAACTGAAGCCTGTGAAATGGCAACACCAGGAGAAGGAAAGTCTTTTGAAAGAGTGGCCCTCAGCAGAGTCCGCAGTGTGAAAAGCAGTGGCTGTGTTTAGGATTATTCCCTTGGTCCCCAGTGGCCGAATGCCCAGTACCCAGTAAAAGCCCAAGGCTGGGAGACAGACAGTTCCCACGCGCTGGAGCCTCTGCAGCTCTGTCCACCCACAGTCACGTTCTCCACTGTCCTGTCTCAGGTACCGAGGGAGCACCAGGCTCCCCCTCACCCGCTTCCAGTGACCTTGTGTTCTTGCCGCCATCAACAGGTGACCACAGTGAGAGACAGTCACGTGAGCGGAGCTGGGGCCGAGATGCTAGAACAGGGGCTCTCCTCCTCACCCGGACGTGTCCTTTTCCCCTGACGTACCAGTTCCTTCACTTGGTCCCTGTTCCCGCGTTTCCCAGCCCCATCACAGAAGGCTCCACATGCAGAAAAACACCACACCCATCCTGGCTCTTTCTTTGAGCAGGGCTCTGGGGTGTAGGTGAAGAGATTTGTAGGTTGCAGGTGGTATGCCTATATAGAATATTCAGTGAATCTAGGGAATGATAGCGATGTCTGGGTCCTAAAATATAGAAGGGAAAAAGCTGCTTTCCCAGAGGCCTGCTTTGCTTTCATGTGTAGTATTTCCAGCTCTACTTAGGGAACCATCCAGTGCTTCCAAGTGCAGGAAGCCATTGTGTGGCTGGGTTTCTTTTCCAGACCTTGTAGTGAGTGTGAGAGGATAAGGTGAGAATCATGAGGAAGTGTGGTGGGGCAGGTAGATAGCCAGAGGAGAGGACTGAGGCTTCGCAGTGCTGCCCTGCCGCGTCCCAGCACAGCCACCACAAGGCAGGTCTGGCTGACCTGCTGTGCAACCTGCAGAAGCCCTGGCCAGCTGGTACACTAGCCATAGCCAGCCCTCCACACAACGGCCCGGTCTGCACCATCCAGACTCTTTCTGTGCACTGCCCAAACCTGCCTTCTGTAGAGCAAAAACCACAGACTCCACAACGTTTTAACTTAGAAGAAGCACTAGCTAGAAATATCCAATATGGCCTCCGATGACCTTTAGGTCATTATAATAAAATTAACCATGGCCAGCCCTGGCACTCCCGTCATGCACCTGATGTCATGATACTTTTAGGATTTCCAAAAAATGGGCACAGAAATGGGTAGTACTCAAGGTCCATCCCCTCTGAATGTTCAACTAGGCCCCTCCCCAGACACCATCCCTTACACCTCCCAGTAGTATAAAAGGATGACCCAAACCTTGTCGGGGATTCATTCCCACACTTGCTCTCTCTCTCTCTCTTGCTGGCACTTATTTATTGAGTGTGTATTTACCCTCTGTTTAAAATAAATCTTGTTTTCCTGCTCACCTTTATCGACATTTCTTCCTTGAATTCCTTCTTGCCACTGAGAGAACCCTGGACTAAGCCTAACTGGAGGTCAAACCCACAACACACACAGAACATGTGGCTCATGGAAAACCCAAATTTGGGGAGAGAAGACCTGGGTGCCAGGCTCTGACACTTAACACCTGTGGCCATGTTTTTCCTCATCTGTAAAAGCAGGTTAAAAATGATTGTTCTGTCAACTTCTTGAGGAAAAGGGAGTAATATAATAGGTGGAGAACTATTCTGTAAAGTTAGCAACTCTGTACACGTATACCATTAGTACTGTGCTAATGCCCCAGGTAAAAGATCTGTATTCAAGCTCTCTGGGGAAAAAAAGCAGTAGCATTTTGGAAGTCACAAAGTTAGTGGTAAAAATCCTCATAGACAGAAAAACACTTAAAAGCACCTGGGTGTTCTACAGGTAGAAAAGCTTTTGAGCCTCAGAGCAGGTTCAGAGTTGAACAGTCTCCGAATGGAAGGGCCTTCCACTCCCTCAGAGGAGCCAGGCAGCCGTTTCTGGATATGGAACCAGAAACTCCAGGCTCTAAATAAACAGCATCACTTGTACTCGGATACAATTGTAGAAGCAAACAAAGCGAAACTGATCCACACCTGTCCTATAAGGCAGAGGCACTTGAAGTCTAATGCACATAAAGTCAGTTTACACACTGCATTACAGTGCACGAATGAGTTATCATTAGGGGCAAAGCACCAAGCTAAGAGCACAGCGCACTGTGTGGCCATCAGTGTTACTCCCTTTCCCTTTGGTTTCTTTCTCGTGGTCCTTTATGTATATGGAACAGTTATATCATCAAATTTTGTAATAGTAACTAAGAACCTGACTTTCAGCAGGGGAGTAGTCCAGAAATCTATGGAGTCTAATTCTGAATGAATGAATAAAAATAAAGTAGTTCACATTACCTTAAACATTCATCCTCAATTTAAAAATAAATTAATGAAAATTTATCAGTTTAAACTCACGACAGTGTGTGGTGTTTGTCAGACATGCAGTGTCACAATGCAGCTTGACTGTCTTGCAGACAACCTCAATGTTATTTTTAAATTGGCAGAGGCAGCAGGCCATATGGCTAGGTAAGATCCTGTAAATGGAAACACAGAGAATTAAGGTAGTCATTAAAGGGTTACTTGAGTAGGTCAACGAGGCAGACCAAGGCTGTGAGAAAGGAGTTCCTGAGGTATACGGCCAGGACAGCTGGGTAGGACCTGATAGCCAAGGGCTGCTCTTAAATATTGCAAATTTAGGAAGGAGGCCACGGTGCCCAACAGAAGGGTAAAGCATGGCAGTGGGTGTGGTATAACCAGAATAAAGGGGACAGGGAGTGGAATTGGGTGCCATTGGCCTGTAGCTTCACTCAGGAGTATCTCCTCCCAACTGAAAAGTCTCACTTTTGGATGGGAGTGTACAGGATGATGGCAGATTTCTAAGTGTCTGAATAAAACCCAACCTCTGGCGTCCCTTTCTCAACTGCCATTGGCAGCACTCACTATTAGAAATTACTCTGGGCACAGAAAAAGACTGACCATAGGAATCCTGGAAAAGATGCAGAGAAAAAGGACCTCTTGGGCACTGTTGGTAGGAGTGAAAACAGTTTAACAGGGGCAGGCATTCGGCCCAGTATTACAGATTCTGCTTGGGATGCCTATGCCCCATATCGGAGTCCCCGGGTTCTAGTTCTGGCTCCATTTCCATTTCCATCTTCTTACAGTGCACACCCTGGGAGAAGACAGGTGGTGGCTCAGGTACTTGGGCCTCTGCCTCCCATGTGAGAGACTTAGATTGAGTTCTGGGTTCTTGGCTTCTGCCTGTTCCAGCCTTAGCTGTTGCCGGCATTTGGAGACCAGCTAACATGGACGGCCTCTGTTTCTCTGTCTCTGAGTTACAGAGAGATGGTAAGAGACAGAGAGAAAGATCTTCCATCCACTGGTTCACTCTCCAAGTGGCAGCAATGGCTGGGGCTGGGCCAGGCCAAAGCCAGGACTCTGAAGCTCCATCTGGGTCTCCTACAGGGATGGCAGGGTTCGAGCACTTTGGCCATATTTTGCTGCTTTCCCAAGCACATTAGTAGAGAGCTGGATTGGAAGCAGAACAGCCAGGATCCAACTGGTGCTCATATGAGATGCTGACAATTCAGGCAGCTTAACTGCCACACCGCAGTGCTGACCCCTTAAAATTTTTTTAGATGAAAGTATTTTGGCAGTATCTTAAAAACTTAAATATATACTTAGCATATGTTCTTGCCATTCTATTTCTTGGAATTTACCCAAGAGAAATAGAAGTATATGTCCATACAAAGACTACACTACTCACAGCTGTTTTTTCAAATGTTTATTTCAGAGGCAGAGAGACAGCAAAGATCTCTTTTCTACTGGTTCACTTTCCAAATACTTGCAACAGTTGGGACTAGCTCAGGCCAAAACCATGAGATTGGAACTCCATATGGGTCTCTCACATGGGTGGTAGGGATCCAAGCACTTGAGCCATAGCCTGCTCCCTCCAAGGGTGCCTGTTAGCAGAAAGCCTGAGTCGTTAGTGGAGCTGGGACTGGAATCCTGACACTCTGATGTGGGATGTAGTAGTCTCAAGTGGTAGCTTAATTGCTATACCAAATGTCTGCTCTCATAGCAATTTCATTTGTGCTAGCCAAAAATTGGAATGACCTAAATGTCCACCAATTATACCATTATAAATTATGGTATATTCATGTAATCAAGTATTGTTCACCAATAAAAAGATATTAATGATTGATATATACAACAACATGAATGTCGTATCATGTTGAGTAAAAGAACCTGGTTAGAAAAGCATGCATACTCTATGGTTCCATTTATATAAAATTCTAGAAAATGCAAATTAACCTATAATAACAGGAAGAAAATTAAGGTTACATGGGGGTTGGGGAGACCAAGGAAGGGTGGGAGGGGGAAGGATTACAAAGAGACATGAGGAAATGATGTTGGGTTGGTAGACATTTTGATTTTGGTGGCTTCATGGTGTGCACATATATCAACCACAGATTATTCAGTGTATGTCAATTATACCTTCATCTCTGGAACTGCTTTGGAAGGAGGGAGGGAGGGACAGAAGAAGGAAAATTAGCAACTGAATCCATGTGAAGGGTATATGGGTGCCCACTATACCATTCTTTCATCTTTCTGTTATGTTTGAGATTTTTCAAAATGAAAATTTTGGCAAAAAAGAAAACCAAGCTTAATTGATTAGTCTATTTATTATAGTAACTAAAGTTGAGTCCTCAAGGTTATCCTTAAGAAGAATAGTTTGGTGATTAGGAATACAGATTCCATATCCAGACTAGGCTCAGATATTACGTCCAGTCACAATGTGACCTCGGGAAAACTGCTTAAACTCTGTCCTCAACCACCTCATTTTTTAAAAGAAAGTTTTTATTTAATAAATATAAATTTCATAGGTACAACTTTTGTAATACAGCAGTTCTTCCCCCTATACCCGCCCTCCCGCCCCCAAATTGTCCCATCTCCTACTCCCTCTCCCATCCCATTCTTCATTAAGATTCATTTTTAATTATCTTTATATGCAGAAGAGCAACTCTATATTAAGTAAAGATTTCCACAGTTTGCACCCACACAGACACAAAAAAGTATAAAGTACTGTTTAAGTATAAAGTACTGTTTGAAGACAAGTTTTACTGTTAATTCGCATAGTACAACTCATTAAGGACAGCAGTCCTACATGGGAAGCAAGTGCACAGTGACTCCTCTTATTGATTTAACAATTGACACACTTATTTATGATGTCAGTGATCACCCGAGGCTCTTGTCATGAACTGCCAAGGCTATGGAAGCCTTTTGAGTTCACAAACTCTGTCAATATTTAGACAGAGCCATAAGCAAAGTGGGAGCTCTCTCCTCCCCTCAGAGAAAAGTACATCCTTCTTTGATGACCCCTTCTTTCCACTGGGATCTCACTCACAGAGATCCTTTGTGTAGATCATTTTTTGCCACAGTGACTTTCCATGCCTGAAATGCTCTCAAGGGCTTTTTAGCTGGATCTGAATGCCTTAAGGGCTGATTCTGAGGTCAAAGTGCTATTTAGGGCCGGCGCCACGGCTCACTAGGCTAATCCTCCGCCTTGTGGTGCCGGCACACCGGGTTCTAGTCCCAGTCGGGGCGCCGGATTCTGTCCTGGTTGCCCCTCTTCCAGGCCAGCTCTCTGCTGTGGCCAGGGAAGGCAGTGGAGGATGGCCCAAGTGCTTGGGCCCTGCACCCCATGGGAGACCAGGAGAAGCACCTGGCTCCTGCCATCGGATCAGCACGGTGCGCCAGCTGCAGCGCGCCGGCCACGCCGGCCATTGGAGGGTGAACCAACGGCAAAAGGAAGACCTTTCTCTCTGTCTCTCTCTTTCTCTGTCTACTCCGCCTGTCAAAAAAAAAAAAGTGCTATTTAGAGCATTTGTCATTCTATGAGTCTGCTATGTGGCCTGCTTCCCATTCAACCACCTCATTTTGGTAGCACCTACCTCTAATGAGAGGTAAGATTAAATGGATCAATCTTGAAATGTGCCTGGCATATGGTGAAGGTTCAGCAAATGTTAATACTGTAGTTACTGGCCAGCGCCACAGCTCAGTTGGCTAATCCTCTGCCTGCGGCACCAGCACACAGGGTTCTAGTCCCAGTTGGGGCGCCAGATTCTGTCCCGGTTGCTCCTCTTCCAGTCCAGCTCTCTGCTGTGGCCCAAGAAGGCAGTGGAGGATGGCCCAAGTCCTTGGGCCCTGCACCCGCATGGGAGACCATTAGGAAGCACCTGGCTCCTGGCTTCGGATTGGCATAGCTCCGGCCATGGTGGCCATTTAGGGGGTGAACCAACAGAAAAAGGAAGACCTTTCTCTCTGTCTCTCTCTCTCTATCACTGTCTAACTCTGCCTGTCAAGAAAAAACAAAACAAAACAAAACACACACACACACACACAAAACCAAAAAACTATAGTTACTAACTAGCAGACAGATGCTACCTGAAAAATAATGTTGCTCTCCCTCCTTGGGTTCTTTGGGGCTTTCTCTGATTCCACCAAAAGGAAGACTCAGGACAGGGAAAATAGAAGTGTGCTTCATGGACACATGAAGGCTATGAGTTGGGAGCATAGTGTACAGAGTTTTAGATTAAAATGGCATCCAAAAAATAAATAAAATAAAACTGCATCCAATACATTGGCCTGGCACACCTTTCTAACCCATGGACAAGAAATTAGAGATGACTAATATTACTCTTTTGGGCCCAGTGGAAGCTTCTGATATTTATATAAAAGAATGAAAAATAAATAAATAAATATTTAAAATAAAAAAGAATCAACACAAACAGTAATCTAGCATTTTACTAGACTTCAACTTTTTTTTTTTAAGATTTATTTATTTATTTGAAAGGCAGTGTTCCAGAGAGGTAGAGGCAGAGAGAGAGAGAGAAATCTTACAACCACTGGTTCACTCCTCAAATGGCCACAAAGGCTGGAGCTGGGTGGATCTGCAGCCAGGAGCCAGGAGCTCCTTCCAGGTCTCCCACATGGGTACAGGGGCCCAAGGACTTGGGCCATCTCCTACTATTTTCCCAGGCCATAACAGAGTACTGGATCTGAAGTGGAGCAGCCAGGACTAGAACCAGTGCCCATATGGGATGCTGGCACTGCAGGTGGCGGCTTTACTCACTACGCTACAGTGACAACCCCGAGACTTCAACTTTTATTATTTCCTTCCTGCTCCAACTTTTTATTTTGAAAAACTTCAAGCCTACAAACCCCCTGAAATAATGGTATGAACATCTATTTCCTTTCACTTGGATTCAACAATTGTTAACACTTTTCTACATTTGCTTTCCATGTGTATATGTCCATATGCTTTCGGGATAAACCATTTGAGAATAAGCTATAGACATAATTACCCTTCACTGCTAAATACTTCAGTATGCAGCCCCTAAGAACTAATGTGGTCTCCTATATATCCACAATACTATTATCACCCAATCATTTTTTTAAATGTTAAGTAGCTTCTCTCTCTCTCTCTCTCTCTCTCTCTCTCTCTCAGATTTATTTATTTATTTGAAAGTCAGAG